TAGTCCTGTGCATACATTAACATGATAAGTTTAGTCTGTTCACCCAGGCTTCTCCATGCCTATTTAAAATTCACATTTAGTATTACGTAAGCTTCATTGGCCAATGAAAAACTAGTTGTGGCTTAATTATTTAAATATCACAGGCTCAACAAAACATGGTTTGGCTAGCTCACCTATCCCCAGAATGTTGGGTATGAGAGCCTCAATAAAAAAAATAAAAAAATGCGTTACCCTCTACATAAAACACATTCCAACTGCAAATGTACTAGATTCAGGCCACATAAAAATAAATATTGTTTCTACAACCAATAAAGAGTAAATTCGTTTTATGAAAATAAAGTCACTCTGTGACACCAGTTTTACGCCCAAAACATGTGTGAAATGGAGAAAAAAATAGTGTGTCACTTATTTACTTGAAACTGAATGACTTGTGATGTACTTGTGATTGATTTGTGTTGTTAAGGGACGACAAAGGTACGTACGTTTAATATAAATACTTATAACGCCACGTTGAAATCTCATCATGCTCATGTTTAAAAGGATCGATTCTACGATTACAACTGTAAGCACCGTGTCGCGTGTTAAATAATGACATATTCATGCCAACTTCCTATTTATCTGTTGTGTCAAAGTTGAAAACATTTGAACTTAAAACATAGACGTTATGGCAAAAATACTATTTTTGACCCAAAATGGGCAAACTAATGACGACAAAAATGTCGTCATAACGTTAATGTGCAATTTGGTCCAATGTGAACAACCAGATTCAGATTCAGCACTATCGAATTAGTACAGTTGACCTTATTGCAAGTTGACACCAAAAAGTTAAGACGAACCTCAGTCAACTTCCAGACCTGATACAGATTTTGGCCCATGGTCTTATACCGACGTTCAGCCAACTGTTCTCTTCTGCACTGCTTGTGTATCTCGTCAAACGTGATTGGTGTCAAAGTCGTAACGGACTACTTAATGCGGGCAAAATAACATGCAAACGATGCTAACATGTCTGGGTTGTCTGTATATTGCCCGTTGGTATGATGTCACACATAGCATGGTATGTACATCTAAACCACTTAGACAAATATCCCCGTCCTATCTTTTTGGGGTTTGTTTTGCTGTCACAGTTTACAAACACCGTGGAACACGATTTGGATGCGCGTAATTAAATCCCATGCGTGATTACACAAACATTATGTCGTCTGCAGTCAATTTAAATCTCATCCCTGGTTCACCTTACTAGATTCTTTACTTTCCTGAAAGTAAGGAGTTTCAATTTCCTTGGTCATTTCCTCCAGCATATTCTAGTTTCTGGTTTACTTGAGACAGTAGTAGTGATACCAAAAGTTCGTTATCAAATTACGATTATGTTTCCTTGTTCATACACTAGTCACAGTCACAAGTTGAAAGATTTATTATCAGAAAGGTATTATAGCTACAAAGTCATCACGTGTTATCATCGAGCATGAACCCAAATGATCTCCAAAGTGGGCGGGTGCCTCAGCCAGACACTCAACCACAGTGGCGTAAATAGCTGTGCCGGCGAGTGGGTGGCGTGGGGATGGCCAATATCCAACAATTGCGGTTGAGCTTAAAACCTTGCGGCTGAGCTACCGGCCACCCGGTACTTCTACCGGCCGGTGATGGAAGCCGGGCCGTAAATTATTTTTTTTTCCTACCCAGATCCGACAATATCGAAAGACGGCGCTCTGTCTCTCTGCGTTATGCATATTCATGATGTCCAGGGCTTTAGGGAATAAGTTATATATTTTTTTAGAGAATAAGTTATATACAACGAATAAATTGTGTTTAAATCACCGACGACTGGCAGCTGATTCGTGGACTGGTTGGGAGTAGTCCTGACTTCTAATCAGGTGATCCCAGTGAGCGTTTTTCACTTCTTCTCATTTTACCTTCTAAATAACTAAAGTCAGGAGGGAACATTGGGTCATATTGATAAAAAGTAGCATTTGCTTTTACTGCCTATTTTCAAGCATTTACTTGCATTGGTTTAAATAAATATTGAAGCAAATACTTTTCTGGAAAGCAATTGCTAAAAGATAAAAGTATTTAATTTCTTCGACTTGTTATCCTTTGCTAGACTAGAAGTGTTTACTTCATTTTGTATGAATAAAAAGGAGTAAATGCTTCAGATTATAAGTATTAACTGGTCATTTTTCAAGTCTGGGTTGGGACTACCTTGAAAATATAAAGCAAATACTTCTGCGCAAACGTTGTTGCATTTATTAATTTTAATCGCGCCAAAATTAACACAAGACTAAATAAACTACAAATAATACCATACATTCTATTTTGAATAACATTAATGCAATTTTTTATTTTTTATTTCATAACTAGAAGAACAATAATTTCGTATTTTGTGCACGATATGAGAAGGGTTTGCGTAAAATTCAGTGCGGCAAAGAATGATTAAGGATAAACTTCATCCAATTTACAATTTTCATGAATGATGAAAGTATACTTTCTGTATTCTGCAACTGGCGAAAAGTGTCATCATTTTTGCTGGATTTGAGGATCAAATGTACAACTACATGTACTAGCACGTTTGTTTATCGTGTAAATCGAGGACTTTTTTTTGTTCCTCTTCCCTTTTCCTTTTCTTGTACTTAATTTTTTTTTTTGCAACAGCTCTCATTGGTTTTGTACACGTTTTCTAATCGAGGTAGTTCTCGATTTGGTTCCTGTCCTCGATTCACCGATGATGTTCCACGTGTGTGTCCATACACCCCCCCCCCCAAAAAAAACCGCTTTATGCATCACCTTGATTTGGACTTGTAAACCCTACTTGAGTGTGGCTGTTCGTACACACACACAAAACCCTATTGTTGACAACCATTTGTCCATGAAAACAATCCAACAGTAAGAAGCATTAGCTACCTGTTGTCTAGTAAATGCTGAACAGTAAAATAAAAAACACTTGTATTCCTACAGAATCAAGCATTTGCTTTTCCTTTATGCCTATACTCCAAAGTAAATGCTTGTACTTTTTGCTTAAACTTTCTAGCATTTGCTAGTTTTATACACACGACCCATGCTCACAGGACGTAAAAAAATTATCTTGGGTTTGTGTTGTGGAGAACAATGCATTCGATATGCATGTAATGGACAAATCAGAAAATGGGAAACAGATGTCATATTGGGGAAAAAAACAAATACAGCCGAGCCTTAGGGAGGGGCATGGGCTGGGTAGGGTTGGGTATATTTATTTAACGAGCAAAGGGACTGCACTACGGGGGAGTTGGGTGGGGAGAAGGTCTATCTTTGATGGATGCAGGGGCGGATCCAGATGCGACTCAAAGGAGTGTAAGCTTTCAAGGAGGGGGTAGGGGTAGCAGGCATGTGCTACTTTGTTTTCCGCAACATTTCCTTGTACTGCGGCCCAGGGAAACAGACACTTTCCCTGGATTGGCCAAGATTTTGTTAAGCTACTTTTACCACTAACAGGTCGGGAACAGCACATAAATCTTAGATATAAATCCGCACTTTTAATAAACTATATAGACGCACAGCCATGTGTTGCGTATGAAAATGTTTAAATTGCCAAACAATTTTTTTGAATCTGCACATCATCTCATTTTTGTTAAGTTAGCCTACATTATGTACAATAATATTCATGCATGTTATGAACATTACTACCTAGTTAAGATTATGTGCACCCCTCCCCTTTTAAACTTATTTTACAACATCCAGTGTGGTACCAGGATTTTGCAAGCACGATCTACTCGCAAGTGTTGACACGATTTACGCCACTTGTTAGGATTCCAAATTTAGGTACCCGCATTGTAGGAAACATCGCAGAAAGTTTGTTGCAGAGAATGACATGTGTGGGAAACTTCAATCCAGTTAACGCCACAGGGGATTTCAGCGATGTGTGACTTTTAGTCAAGCTGTACAAAATCGTCACAAAAGTCAATCACTATTAACTTTTTCAATCTTCTTCAATCACTCACAAGCAATTTAAAGTTGACCGTGCTTACATTGTTATGCATAGGCGCCCTAAACAATTATTAATGCCAGTCAAGGTACAGGGAATCACGAGAAGACCAACAAGAAGAGTAAATATTCACGAAAACGGAAGGCATGAAATGACATTTCTTTGAAACATTAACAGTACACATTATACGTTGGAGGGAAACAAGCACCTGGCGAGGAATTCCAAAGAGATGCAACACGTGGGACAAAGATTTTGGAATATTATTTTGTTCTGCATCTAGGCGGAACCGGGGGGGGGGGGAGGCGCAGGGGGAGGCGCCACCCCCCCCCCCTCCATTTTTCCCAGGCCAACAAAAGGGCCCCTGTACCTCAAACGCACACAGTGCACAAACAAAACTGTACCTCAAACGCACACATATGAAAGTATATGATCGCGCCAAAAATTGTCTCTTCTCATGTAATGCAAAATGCCCCTCAAAAACACAAGTACCCCTCTCACATTAAAAAGACTGTGTACTTTCTCGAGATGGAAAACTACCCCTCGAAAGCACAAATACCTATCTCGCAATAATAACATTATGCCGAACTTGAGATGAAAAATTGGCCATCAACAACAATAGTGGCCCTCTCGCGATAACTGGTCGAGATGGAAAACTGCCCCTCGAAAGCACAATTAGTGCCCCACTCGCAACATTAAAATTGTGCCCCCTTTCAAGATGGAAAAGTTGCCCCTAAAAACAACAGTGCTGCGAATAAAAATCACAAAGAGCGAGATAGACAAAGTATTCATCATTTGTTCCTCGTCATATAGATTTATAGCAAAATGAATGGGAACATAATTATTTCCCTCCACTTTCACACCGACTGAAGGTGCCCCCATTTTGCATTTAGGTAATAGCAACAGCATATGAATGAGGTCAGGCGGAAAGTCGGGTTTATCTCTCAAACACTCTGATTGGAGGAACCGGGTTGGACAGTCTCCATTCTTGATACATTTTATGCTCTTACTTGCGATTGAATCGACTAAAACACTGGCTGGACGTCGATGTTCAGTGCGCTTGGACCGGTGATCCTTGAGCTGCCTTCGCTGGTGGATTCACTCGAAGTTCTATCTGCTCCGTCTGCTGCGGTCGGCGGCAGCGGCGGCACTGTCGAAGGAGCTTTGCCAGCGGGGGAAAAGCCTCCAAGAAAGCCGCTCGATACTGACTGTTCGTCACGCTGTACAACAGAGTATTGATGGAGCTGTTGATGAGGCGAAAGATAGCTACGCAGACCTGCACGTCAAGACCGGTCCAGTAGATATCGAAAGCTTCTGCTACGGATGAGTGCCTGGAGAACAGGAGTATAAGGACGATGACAAGGTAAGCGATGTCCAATGAATTGAGAACGAAGAAGACAGCAGTGTTGATGACCAGCATGCGGGCGACGGGGTAAGCTCGACGGGTTTGGCCTTCTTGACGCTCTCGGTCGGTGTGGCATAACTTAATAACGATGTAAATATACGAGGAAATAGTTGTGGTAAACGTTGCCAGGTAAATCAGTAGAAAGATGACAATGATTACTTCAGTGAAAACCGCATTCGTGACATAATTCTTATCAAATGCCAGTCCTTCCAAAACGCTCATGACAACTGCCACTACCCAGACGCCTGCTGATACCTTGGCTGCTCGTGACTTGCTCGCTCGCGCTCTCTGGGTTAGCGGTTGGCGTACGGCGGCGAATCTTTCAACCGCTATGACAGTCACGAAGCAGTACGAAGCAATCTGCATCGTTGTAGAAGCTATGCGTGCGGCCAGGTAAACGCCTGAAGCTACGTGTGTTTCTTCTGCAGCCCATGCTGTTGACATGGCTAGGACCAGATAGGCAGCGTCAGTCACTGCTAAATTCGATAAATAGACGTTGATGATCGAGCGCATGGACTTCACTCGCATTACTACGAAGAGAAAAATAAAGTTTAGCAGGATTCCGATGGGGCCGATTATTTTATCAAATTGACAGATTATGTTGCGGTAGTCTTGAGCTTGAGCATCGAGATCACGGGAAAGCTGCCTCTCGTGGGGTGTAAGTCCATCGCTATGTTTTATTGTTCGATTCATCTTTTTTATAGGACGACGTCTTGACAAGCCTGATTCACAAGTCGAAATGTATCTTCATTCACAGCCATATCATAACTCATCTTTGGACCGAGCAATATGGAAAACAAAAGAAAAGAAAGCGAGAAACACTGGGCATGCAGTATAATCAACTCACTCTTCGCGCCTTAAATGGGAATGTCCGGAAAGTTAGTTTTCTTTTCGATCACCAGATCCAATGGAGTTGAAGGAACTATCTCGTGAATTGTGCATTTCTATACTCACTCCAAGGGTGAGCTCGACCCTCTGGAGCATGGGTTCTCGGAGTTCAAATTAATGTTTGGGTTGCATGGTTGCCAATGTGTAATTTACCCTACCCTCTCTTTCCACCTCACACCACTACCCTCAATCCTACCCTACACTATACTTGCTCGACCTATTCCAATGTGTCCTTTTCCTACCCTCTCTTTCCACCTCACACCACTACACTCAATCCTACCCTACCTTACTACTTTGCCAGACCTGTTCCTATGTGTCCTTTATCCTACCCTCTCTTTCAACCCTCGCCCCACTACTCTAAATCCTACGCTACCTACCTTACCCGACCTGTTCCAATGTGTCCGTCCGTTATCCTACCTTTTCTTTGAACCTCACCCCACTACCCTCAATCCTACCATACCCTATACCTTGCCCGACCTGTTCCAATGTGTCCGTCCGTTATCCTACCTTTTCTTTGAACCTCACCCCACTACCCTCAATCCTACCATACCCTATACCTTGCCAGACCTGTTCCTATGTGTCCTTTATCCTACCCTCTCTTTCAACCCTCGCCCCACTACTCTAAATCCTACCCTACCTACCTTACCCGACCTGTTCCAATGTGTCCGTCCGTTATCCTACCTTTTCTTTGAACCTCACCCCACTACCCTCAATCCTACCATACCCTATACCTTGCCCGACCTGTTCCAATGTGTCCGTCCGTTATCCTACCTTTTCTTTGAACCTCACCCCACTACCCTCAATCCTACCATACCCTATAGCTTACCCGACCTGTTCCAATGTGTCCTTTATCCTACCCTCTCTTTCAACCTCACCTCACTACCCTCAATCCTACCCTAACACTATACCTTGCCCGACCTGTTTCAATGTGTCCTTTTCATACCCTCTCTTTTCACCTAACCCCACTACCCTCAATCCGGCCCTACCGCCCTACCCTATACCTTGCCTGACCTGTTCCAATGTGTCCTTTATCCAAACCCGTATCATTGCACAAACCATAAAATGTAGGCCTTCATCATTGGAAAGCTTATTCAATGTATCTTCATATGAGCCCAAATTCCAGTTTTCAAAATGTGTCCACTTGGTTTATGCCAGAGTGTCACAAATATACCGCAAAATCATGGCCACAGTATTACAGTAATGCGTTTACGTGATGACTTTGTAGCTATTTAATACCTTCCAGCGATTAAATTGTTCAACGCGTGACCGTGATCATAGTGTAAGTACAAGGAAACACAAGCGTGTTTCGATATTGAAATTTTGGTATCACTACTATGTTGTCTCAAACAAATCAGAAACTGTATATAGATATGCTGGGGGAAAAAACAAGTAAATTGAAACTTCTGACGTTCAGAAAGTTAATTGATTCCGAAAACTTGGATCAAGGATGGTGCCTAAAAGTAATATACAGCATTAGCTTTGCTGTAATTTTGAGAAATTGATGGGTATGGTATTTTATAGCAAGCATTGCTACACTGATAAGTATGTTTAAATAATTGGGGTCATTGATGCTAAAAAAAGACAGAACATGTCACTTTGGTTCCTACTTCAGACAAAACGGAGCAATTTACAGACGTCGGGGATTTGTTAGGTCAGGGAACCAGACTAGCTGGTTCGCATTTGCTACCAACGGGCAACTGACAGGGAACTCAAACATTTAAGCATCATGCATATTGTCTGCCCTCGTTAAACAGTTTATGTCGCTACTTTTAGGAATATACATGCAGTGCGGAAGGGAACAGTTTGCTGAAGTTGACATCACGTGACCATTACATCTAATTTGTAAACAAAATACAGAACTAACATTCGGGAGTTTAGGTTAATTAGAAATGTGTGCATACCTTTGGCCAAACTGTGGGGGTGGCCAGGGTTGGGATCAGGTGGGGGTGTGATGGGGCAGCGTATGGATGCAGGGTGTAATTAGGTTCAAACCACATGACAAAGATTGCAGGCGATTTTTTTTATATTTTCATTTTATTAAACCAAATCCAGTGTAGGTAATTTTAAACTGCACAAACCCATGCTCCGTGTTAACCCTTGGTTCGAACTTACCCTTGGAGCGAATCGAAAATGAAAACTATCCGATTTTTAGTGCGAACAGTGAGTTGTTTATATTGCATGCCCATGTTTCTCGCTTTCTTTTCTTATTTCATATTGCTCGGTCTCAAGACGAATAATAATCTAGCTATGCATTTCGACTTGTGAACCAAGACTGTCGAGACGTCATTCCGTAAAAAAGATGAATGAAACAATAAGACAAAGCGACGGACTGACTGCCCATGAGAGACAGCTTTTGAGTGATGCCGAGGTTCATCGGAAAGACAACGACATTATAATCCGTCAGTGTGACAAAATCATCGCCCCTATCGGAATCCTGCTAAACTTTATTTTTCTCTTCGTTGTAATTCGAGTGAAGTCCATGCGCACGATCATTAACGTCTATCTGTCGAATTTAGCAGTGGCCGACGTTGCCTTTCTGATCATATGTATGTCTACAACATGGGTTGCCGAATACACCCACATAGCTTCAGGTACCTACTTAGCTGTACGCATAGCTTCTTCAACGACGCAGATTGCTTCGTATTGCTTTGTGACTGTCATCGCGGTTGAAAGATTCTCCGCCGTACGCCAACCGCTAACCCAGAGAGCGCGAGCGAGCAAGGCACGAGCAGCCAAGGTATCAGCAGGCTTCTGGGTTGCGGCAGTGGTCACTGGCGCTTTGGGTGGACTTGCATCTCATAGCAAATATGCCACGAATTTAGTTTTCCCTCAAGTATGTTTTGTCATCTTTCTACTGATTTTCCTGGCAACGTTTACCATAACTATTTCTTCGTATATATTCATCATCATTAAGTTGTGCCACACCGACCGAGAGCGTCAAGCAGGCCAAACCCGTCGAGTTTACCCCGTCGTTCGCATGCTAGTCATCAACACTGCTGTCTTCTTCGTTCTCAATTAATGGACATCGCAAACACTATCATCAGCCTGATATTCCTGTTCTCCTTGTCACAAGGGGTGATAGAAGTTGCCGATATGCACTGGACCATTCTCGACATTTTTGTCTGCGTAGGAATCATTCGCCTCATCAACAGCTCCGTCAACACTCTGGTGTACAGCGTCACGAACAGTCAGTATCGAGCGGCTTTCTTAGAGGCTTTTCCCCCGCTGGCAAAGCTCCTTCGACAGTGCCGCCGCTGTCGCCGACCGAAGCAGACGGAGCAAATAGAACTTCGAGCGATTCGAACAGCGAAGGCAGCTCAAGAAACACCGACCCAAGTGCACTGAACATCGATGCCAATCCAGACTTTTCGTTGAGTTAATCACCAGTCAAGTCCAAAGTCAGACACAGTATTAAGACCACGAATATCAATGTTGGAGACTTTCCAGCCTGGTTCCTCCAATCAGAGTGTTTAAGAGAGAAATCAGACTTTCTGCCTGTTCTCATCCATGTAATCTTGCTATTTTTACACTGTTGTTTTCAATGAACACATTTTTGGGTTAACAATTTGAACAGAGAAACACTTAACTGATAAGTGTCTTCCTGAAAATGTCACCACATCAACAGCGCCCTGAGTTATCCGAAAAAGCATAGACAATGTTAAATGTTGAAAGAAGTGCATTATTGAATGAATTTAATCAAAATGGAATTTCAAATGGTTGTTATACTTTTCAGTGAAGTAGAAAGTTGAACGAAATGTGTTCCTAACAATTCCGCTTAATTGCTTTTGGACATATTTGAACTGGATGACACATCTAATATTCTTTACGTTACGAAATTCATGGCATTTCCTACATTTGGGTATGCCTACCTTCAGTTGGAATCATCGCCAGTGGCGTAGGTTCGTGTCGACAACTGTGACTGCAATATCCTGGCACCACATCGGACGCTGTAAAAGAAAACTTGAAAAGTGTGTGTGTGTGTGTGTGGGGGGGGGGGGGGGCTGGACACAAATTGACAGTAGGTGGCGCTGTTCATATTGCAATTTTGTATATTTTGTTCACCTCTCTTTCCACCTCAACCCACTACCCTCAACCCTACCCTACTCTATACCTTGCCTGACCTGTTCCAATGTGTCCTTTATCCTACCCTCTCTTTCCACCTCACCCCACCCTCAATCCTACCCTACCCTATACCTTGCCCGACCTGTTCCAATGTGTCCTTTATCCTACCCTCTCTTTCCACCTCACCCACACTATCCTCAATCCTACCCTACCCCATACCTTGTCCGACCTGTTCCAATGTGTCCTTTATCCTACCCTCTCTTTCCACCCTCACCCACACTACCCTCAATCCTACCCTACCCTATACCTTGCCTTACCTGTTCCAGTGTGTCCTTTATTCTACCCTCTCTTTCCACCTCACCCCCACTACCCTCAATCCTAGCCTACCCTATACCTTGCCTGACCTATTCTAATGTGTCGTTTATCATTCCCTCTCTTTCCATCTCACCGCACTACCCTCAATCATACCCGGCTCTTTACCTTGTTCGACCTGTTCAAATGTGCCCCTTGTCCTGTTTTCCAACCTAACCCCTCTACCCTCAATCCTACCCTACCCTAAACCTTACCCTTCTTCTCTC